ACACACACACACACACACACACACACACACACACACACACACACACATATATATATATGTGGCAGCTTCTACTGTGTTAGGTTTCCATAATACTCATCTAGTGGCCCTTATTTTTAGCTATCTTTCCCTGTATTCCCTCTCTCATCTCCCTCTCCCCTTTCTACTTGATCCTCTCATTCCAGAACTCTCCATAACTGTCTATTTTATTTCTTTTTCCTAACAAAATCTATTTGTGTCTCCTATTCCCTCACTCTCTAACCTCTGGTTCTACATATTCTAGCATGGTTATCAATGACTTAACAAATAATGTTCACATATAAGTGAATACATGCCATATGGATTATTCACTCAAGATGATTTTTTTCTATTTCCATCCAATTACCTGGGAATTTCATTTTTAAAAAAACAGAGTTATACTCTGTTTTGTAAACGTACCACATTTTTTTTTTTTTTTTTTTTTTACCCATTCTTTTGTTGAGGAAGGTCTAGGTTGTTTCTAATTCTGGCTATTAAGAACATGGTTAAGCAGTGGTAGGACAAGGCATCCCTTGGCATTCCCAGTAGTGGTATAGATGATTCTTGATGTAGACTAAGCACCATCTTCCTGAGGAACTGCCATGTTGGTTTCCGTAGTCGCTTTCACTCCCACCAGCCATGGATGATTGTCCTCCTTACTCCACACTCTTGGCAGCATGAGCTGTCACTTATTTTATTATCTTAGTCATTCTGATGGTGAAAGATGAAAGCTAACATAGTTTTGATTTATAACTTTTTGATGACCAAGGATGAACACTTAAGTGTTTTCTCAGCTTTTGAGTTCCTCTTTTAAGAGTTCTCTGTTTAGAGAACCCCATTTTAAAATTGGGTTATTTGTTTTCTTGGTAACTACTCTTGTGAGTTTTTTATATATTGAGCGTGAGCTATAAAGCAAGTTCAAGGCCAACCAGGGCAACGTAGACTCTGCCTCTAAACAAAAAGTAAAACGTGAGGTTGGGAGACAGCTCAGTGGTACAGCAGCTGCCTGGCATGCGTGGGGCAGCAATACCACATATCCTCAGAAAATGAGACTGCCATGAAACTAACAGAATTATTTCATTCAGGACCTTTTTTTGGGGGGGTGACTGGATAAGTTAGGGTAAATGAGAGAAGGGCAAGAACAGTCATTCCTTTTCTGATATGTTAAAGGGGTGTTGCCTGTGTTTTTGGTCTTGTACTCACTAAGAAGGCAATTGTCTTGTTAAGAGGCTATCAAGTAATGTGTAGGTATCAGCCATTGTAACTATAAGTGATACTCACTATAAAACCATAAGGATTAGTTAGAAGTGATTCAGAAGTATATTGGTATAACTTATAGGCCCTTCTGACTTGGCAGCCATGGAAGAAACTCAGCAGCTTTGCAAGCTGAAGAGAAATGCAATTTAAAAAGTTATTATTTTAAATTATGTGTGCGTGTGTACACACATGAATGCAAGTGCCCACAAGAGGTTAGCTGTGCCACAGAGTTGAAATGCCCCTGGAGTTGGAGTTACAGCCATTTGTCACCCACCTGATATGGGTGCTGGGACTTGAGCTTGGATTTCCTGAAACAGTATTATGTATGCTTAGCTTAACCAGTGAGCCATCTCTCTGGCCTGAGAAATGAAATTTTAAGTGCAGAAATAATTTGCTATTTTATTCCTGTAATATATTTCCACATGTACTTGTTTATATAGCTATCCAGTTGACCAGAATATTCTCTGTTGTAGAACATTATTTTATTTCCTTTTAGCTTGTTGTATTGTTTATTAAACTGCATGAATGTTGAGCACCTTTCTTTAAACATTCCAGTGAATCTGGTCATACGACTTAGTGAGCCAAATCAGATTCTTTCCTAGTAAGTGTTGCTAGCAGCTCTGACCTAATGCTGTTTTTTTTTAAATTATAATGAGGGAGACTAGAAAGATGGTTCTGCGGAGCACTGGCTGCTCTTTCAGAGGAACTGGGTTTAATCTCCAGCACCTTAACTCCAGTAACAAGGGGATCTAACACCCTCTTATGGCCTCCACAGGCACTGGGCATGCATGTGATACACAGATATACATTATGAACCCCCAAAATCATACATATAAATAAATAAGTAAAATTATAATGGAGGAAGATATTTTATTTTTGGAACATATTTTATTTTTAGAAAAGGCTAGGACAGAACTATAGTAGTCATGACAACTGACTGGGACATTAGCTGTCTGTGGCCTTGGAAAGAGGAGTCCTAGAAATTAAAAACAAAACAAAACAAAACAAAACAGAGACTTGAAAAGGTGCCCAAAATGGTTTTGCTTCTTTCAGAATTTAAATTTCCTCTCTCTTCTGCCACGCACAGCCTTCTCCTCATATAACACCAAACAAGTTACTATTAGGGCCATGTTCTTCTGTGAAAAGTGAGCATTTTTGTGGGCTAGTTTCTGAATGTCATTAGACTGACCTTGAACTTGCTGTGTAGTAGCATTGGCTTTGAACTCCTGATCCTCCTGCTTCCATCTCCCTACTGCTGGGATTACAGGTCTGCACCACCATCCTCAGCTTAATACCATTGTTTCTGGGAGAGAAAGTATGTTCTGCTTCTGAGTGATTTGTAAGTTCATATCTGGAAGATAACAGAGCTGAGTCGTATAGCTTTAGCAACAAAAAAGGAGGTAACACTGATCATGAAACAGAATGCCTTGCCTTCAGATCCAGCCTCTTCGATTCAGAGCTGTTTGACCTGTTGCCCACATTTGTAAAGAAGAGAGAGGTCTTCTCTGCTGCTTTGGTTCCTATTTGCAGAGACAATATTTACTGCTGTGCTGATGGCCACAGCAGTATCTACAGAGGCTGTGCTGATGGC